TCCAAGGGTCCTTTCTAGGAAACGTATTATGAAAGGCCCGATGAAAACTGATATTTTTAACTATTTTACGCCGAATTTTTTGCCGTGGGTAATGTAGCTGACCTATCGTGATGATTTTAGACATTCATGAGCAAAAACACTCGCTCTTGTAATCAAAAGATAGCATATGCATTATGCATTAATTGAAACAACTCTCTGCTTGAACAGGAAAAAATATATTGTCTGTTACAAAAATAATGCATTATTTTATTATTTCTAAGTGAAAAAAGGTAAAAAGGTAGGTATTTCCCTCTAAAAAAAATTTCTATTACTTATCCGGGAAGTTTTCTTCTTACTTAAAACAAGTTCATACTTCCTCCATTCGAGCGGTGGGGAATGAGACTAGGAATTTAGAGCTGAGGTTTGAGGCAGCATCATAAATGGAGCGGCATCGGCGCGGAAGGCGGAGGTCCGGTGCGGACTTTCATGCCGCGTCGAACAGTGCGCCGCACATTGGGACGAGCCCATTACAGAAATGGGACATTCACGGTAAAAATTAAAATCATTAAAAGCAAGAACCAAAGGTGTAGAAGTTACCTGGAGGGTCTAATCTTCCAGAATAACGAAGATTTAAACAATTTAATTGAGGAATATTCAAATGACAGGCGTAGAGAAACGGGTGTTTCGGAAAGATGAAAAAAAGAGGTAAAAGCGCACGTATACAAATGTTGCTCCTCTAGCGTCCGAGACGATTTTAAATGCAATTTTTTGTTATAACAATTGAATACAAACATAGACTATTCGTTTACGTCTTTGGTGATGATTACTTTTTACTTCCTGGGGGTCAGAGAGTGAATTCAAAATCGACAAGTCAAACAACTAAAATTCAAACTTCAATTAGAGTTTTAAAAAAATGTCCAGACTTGTCCAAGAAACGGTTTGCAAATCGATATTCTACGTATCCTTAGCTTTCAGAATCATATTTGTTTTCATCCGACTTCTTCCGACTTTGGAAGTTACAAGGGAAAACATGAGCGCGGTTCGCTTAAAATCGAGCGCTTTCACAGGCCAATTGACGGTTGAGGTTGAGTGCAACGGGCTGCATTGCTGGCCGCCGCGCCACCGCTGCGCTGCGTTGCTTATCAGCTTACTGCAATGCTCATCTGATATCTAGGATACTGATTGCAATCGTCTTTTTTTGTAGACCGATTTTTTATTTTGATTTTGCAAATAATCGGATGATGTCGTGATGGAAACGGTGCTTACAATCGAGGCTGAAATTAAAAATTTAATTTCAACCAAAGTGGACAGTTTGACAAAGTGTCCCATGATTTGTATTCCACCATGTTCGATAGGAAAATTTGCAATATAGTAAGTGGCATTAAATCCTCATTCTTATGAACGATATCTCAGAAGTGCAGAGAAGACCCCTAAGAAACTCGGAGTTTCCGAAGTATGGAATTTGCCTTGGCATCTCAAGATTAAAACTTTTGAGTGTCTGTTGCATATTTTGTATACTCAGGATTTGAGAAAATGGCGCTCCAAAACGGAAGAAGAAAAGTCCTTTGAAAAAAACGGAAAAAAACAGCATCTGTGTCAAAGAATGATAATATTTGGGAGCAACTTATTCGTTTATGATTTTCGGATTCACTTTAATGTCTGCCCATTGATGAACTCATTCCCCTATAGTCAAATATCGCTGCGGTTTTTGCGAAACCTAGGTAAGAAGATGGTGGGGGGGGGAAGTGTTCATTCTTAATAAAAGCATTTCTCAATTTCAGGATAAGTGAATTAATTTTCTTTTTCAATGAAAAATAGCAAACGACACGCGCGTTAAATCTCTACCATAATCATGCTAATTTGTTTATCAAATAGATTAAAACAGAGACTTGGCAACACCATTTTTTGGCGGGATTGTCACTATGAACCAAATACTGAGCAAAATATTAAATTCCTTTCCCAAAAAGACCGAAAATGTCAAGTTTTGAGAAGATCGGCGAAAAATTATCGTCTAATATGCGAATGTCCCGTTTTGACACCTTTTCGTCCCACTGTGCGCCGGGGGATCGCATTTGCCCTTTAGGCAGCTTACGTTGGTGAAGCCGACACCCGGCATGACTTTTTGATGCCGTATCAATTTTGATGCTGGGTCCAGCATCAACATTGAGGCGGCTTCAATTAGCAGACACGTCGGACGCCAGCGCCCCGGGCCCGGCTGCCGGGCGGCTCATCGCACCGGGCTGTGTTTTCAACCCTTCCTTGGCGTCCACTTCTTAGAACTTCCCGGCGAGGCGTGGGCCACCGCACCGATGGGAAACGTAGACAAAGGGGTGTTCCGCGAATTCATCGCCAAGTCCAAGGGTCACATAACCCGGCAGTCTTCTGGGTCAGCCCTGTTGGTAATTAAGCTGGTTCGAAAATTGATGCCGTATCGGGCCGCAAGCCGAGGGTCCGGCCTACAAGTGGAAACCCATGTTGGTCCCTATGCCAGCATCAACCCTCAGCATCAGCGCTTAATGCCGGCTCGGTCGGCACGCCAGCATTGGGCTTCAATGCCCGAAGTCGACGCCGGCAAGTTGCGCGCATTAGGCGCGACGCCGCATGCCCGCACGGCCGCTTTCTGGGCATACGGCATTAATGCTGAAGCTACGAGTCAATGCTGTACGGCATAACCTCATGAAGCGCCTCAAATGCCTGAATGAGACCCCCTCAGCTTGGGTCGTTCATCATTATTACCCATTGCTTGATTAATTATAGGCAGAAAAAGAAACCAAGCGGACGAATGATGACAATTTCACAATGCTTTTCTTCCGTTAGATACTTTAAGTTACTTTTGTAACGGACGCATTATACAATATGAACAATGACGGAGAAGAAATCATATGCACATGTACACACCTATTGTTAAAAGAGTGCCTTTTAAATTAATTATTGGGATATACAGTATGTTATTATTCACACTTTTCTACGTAATAAGTGCGTACAAAAGTTAAAAAAAACTTTAAAATATAAATACATCGAGGGTTTGTTTACAGAGAATAAAAAGACTAGACGCTAAATACACACTATGAGATAAAGTATGATTGATCTGCATGCTGAACATTTTATTGACTACAAATAAACGATTGAATTTTTTCAAGCTGCCGTACGGGAACTTTTTAATTTTTATTTTCTTCCCTTTTCTTACTAATAGCAAAATATCAGAATTTTTTTTAATTTGAATCAAATACTTCTGTGAAGCTCACTCATTGAATTTACCTACATTGGTATAGGTTTCGGAGCCAAACTTCAGTTGTACTTTAGAGACCTTTAACTTATGTCGTTGAATATTTGGAGACAACTAGGTCCTCATAATTATTTTGAATAGGCAGAAGAATTAACAATTTTAAGACCCTATTTCATAACTACAGAACAAAAAAGTTGATATTTCCTTACCTCTGCCACACTAGTCTGCGTCACAAAGATAAAACCAGTTTTAACATAGGAAATGGAAGAAAGCGTGAGTTAACTCACGCAAAACTGCACTAAGAATAGTGCACCTAATCTGATACATTGAGGTTTCAGTTGCAATCCCATTGCTTTTAAAGCCATCATCTTTCAAATCTCCTCTGTATTAAGTAATTGATCAATATTATAAGTATAATGGTATAAATATGACTTTGTTTGGTGAGGAAAACCTCCAAAAAACCATTATAGTCGCTAAAAACATGGAACCTTGGGATGTTTGTGCTTTCTCTGAGATTAAATTAGCTCTTAATGTTAAAGTAACAGTTTTTTTGTTTTAATTATATATCTAGCGCGTGAAGTACTTTTACAGGGTGATCCAAAAGTCCCTCCCACCCCCTCCTAATTTTTACCTAATTCAGGTAAAGATTTGCAAAAGGGGATGTTCTTAGGTCAAAGGGAGCTACTTTTTGTCCCCCCTAAAATTTCCGGGGGTCTCCCTGAGGGGGCACGGGACCCCATCTTTTTTTCTAAAATGGGAAGACCCCCTTTGTGATATCTTGTTCAAACGAGCATAAAAAAAAGAAAACTTTTCTTGTATATCCGAAGTCAATATCTGAAACCGTTTCAAAATGGCGGCCGGTTGATGTTCAAGATGGCCGAAAATTGACACCGGTTGTTTGGCAATGGATTTGAGCGAAAATCAGTATTTGGGGTATTTTGACACGAGAAAGACAAATTTGACTTTAGATTAAAAAAAAAAAAATTTCCAATATGGCCGCCGGTTGAAGTTCTAAATGGCCAAAAATTGCCAACTCGGCTTTTTGCAGATGGATTTTCTGAAACTTGGGACTAAGGGGTATTTTGACATGATATTCACACATTTAAAAGAAGATTTCTAAAAAAACAATATTCGGCCATTTTGGAAAATTCGGGTTTTTCTTAAAAATCTAATATTAAATTCGTTTGAAAATACCTCGTGTGAAAATACCCCAGCATACCGATTTTCGCGCTTATCCATTGACAAAAAATAACCGAAGTGCCAATTTTCGGCCATTTTGAATTTTAACCAGCCGCCATTTTGAAACGCTTTGAGATATTGTTTTCGGACATTTGAAGAAAGTTATCTTTTTTTACGCTCTTTCAAACAAAGTATCACAAAGGGGGTCTTCTCGTTTGAAAAAAAAGTTATGGTCCGTTACCTTCTCAGGGGGACTCCCGAAAATTTTAGGGGGGATAAAAAGTAGCTCCTTTTGACCTAAGAACATCCCCCATGCCCAAGTGGCAAATCTTTACCTCACTTACGTAAAAAGTTAGAGAGGATGCATGGAAGTGACTTTAGGATCACCCTGTATAATGAATGGATGGAAATACCTGGTATATTTCAATAATCGTATACAGATGAAATTGAATTATCGTACGCTGTACAGTATGTCAAGTTATATAGATCTTCTAGAGGTCTCCCAGCTCCATTTCATCGAGCTGAGAGGACGTCTTTTGAAGAAGACAGTGGAGAGGATTTTTTTTTATTCACCATCATTTCTAAAAATAAAAAGGGAATACAAGAAGACACTGACCTGGAATACTTTTTTGATATTTTCAATTAAAAGTTTGTTGAACGTATCCTGATCCTTCAAATCAACCAACTTATCACCATAGACTCGGCAAGTCTCATGCATCCACAGCCGGACAAATCTTCCGGGAGTTGGAACACAATCTCCATTAGCAAACATAATTCCCTAAAACCAAATCACTTTTTAAAATTACTTTTGTACTCATCCTTTAGTTGAGGCCTGTAAATGGAGAGTAAGTCTTGATGATACATGGACGTATTTCTATCAAACAGATTTATGTGCAGGTGAGAAATATGAGGTGTGCTCGTTAGTTCTCTGGACGTAAGATAGAATGAGAATAATAAAATGCCAGTGACGTCAGCAAGCTGCAATGATGTACCTCGGGCGCGAGGGGGGATCGTCGGGTCGGGGGTCTTCAACTCATGAGCCCTATCCATCCCTAGTAGCACAATTAGTGTTTAAAATGTTTAAAAAATATGTCACTGAAATCAAAAAACATTGTCAACACATTTCATCGAAACATTTTAAACATGTTCAAAATGATTTCATTCAGTTTTTAACACGTTTCAGACACTTCTTCCCCAAATTTTCGTCAAACTGACACCCTATGCAGATGTTTCTGATACCTATTAGGGATGTATTAAAGTTTCACTGATACGTTTCAGGAACATTTCTGAAACATATTTTTGAAAGGAAAGGTGATTGATGCTCTCACAAAATTGTTTCAGAAACGTTTCCAAAACATTTCGATGGTTTTCAAAATATTTCTTACGTTTCATCGAAACATATTAAACACGTTCAGAATGTGTTCATCCAGTTTTTAACACGTTACAGACACTTCTCTACGTCGCACCAAATTCTTGTGTCGCCTACACCGTGAGAAGATGTTTCTGAAACCTATTGAGGATGTTTCAAAGTTTCACTGAATCGTTTCAGCAACATTTCTGTAACATGTGTTTGAGAAAATTAGGTTCTGACTGTTCACTATAAAATGTTTTAACAATGTTTGCATGTTTCAGAAATGCGTTTCTTCGGGGGTCAACTAGAGCCTAAGTATCAAAAATTTTCAGACATTTGTTTTAATAACTAATGTCGCTGTGGAATTAGAACCATCACAACAGGAATCCCTTGATACCAACCATGCCTAAAGGTTGAATCGTTACACTTCACCATTATCAACCTATCAGAGGGATTAGAATACCTTCACTATAGAAAAGTATACGCAAAGCACGATGTACGGTTTCAATATTCTAGATAATCCATAACTTATGAGTTTTTATGGAGATGAACTCGATTCATACAAGGAATTAAACGGGTTTATAACCTTCACATAATTAAATGTCCAAAAAGTATAGCTTGAGACGAAAAATTAAGCTGAAATTTGGTAAAATTGAAAAATTTAACGTTAACACCCTCTGGTGGATTCAGTTTGAACCAGGAAAAGTTTTAGAAAGGTCCTAGAAATGTTCCTATGTTAATCAATGAAACATTTCTAAAACGTGTCAAAAACATTTTTAAGTGACGTATAAATTCAAACCAAATATTCAAAAAGGTTTTAGAGACATTTTGAAAAATTTTTGAAATGGTTTTGTTGAAACATTTTCAAAATGTGTTCCAAATATTTCAACTAAAACCACCCATTTCAGATGACATTTATAATTTGTTTTGGAAACGTTTTAACGAAGATTAATGAGATGAAAAAGAAATGTTTGGAAAATAATTTTGACTCAGTTCAACGTAACAAAGATCAAACTAGATTTAAATGTTTTAAATTTGTTTCAAAAACGTTTTAAATGAAATGCGTCAATTTCTCATATCATAGGAAATATTTCTGAAATGTTTTAGATATGTTTCTGAAAGATCGCGTAAAAATCTTTTTAAGTTGTTTTTGAAACATTTTAAAATTATTTAGATCTAGCATCATAAAACTAAAATTAAAAAAAGTTAAATTTTTATTAAAAATATTTTTTCGGTGAAAAATGTGGAGCTAGGTTTCACAATAATGATTCCAAGATAGTTTGGAAACATTTAAATTTTGTTTCATTATTTTAACTGTAATTAGTTTACAATTTATTTCTGAAACGTTTTGATTTTAATATTTTTATTTAAAAAGAAAACGTTTTTAAAACGTTTCAAATTTATATTAATGAAACTCTCTAAGTGTTTCGTGTCAATTATATATTTCAAAAATGTTTTTGAATCGTTTCAATGAGATGATACAAGTTTCAGACTTTTGAGATGTTTCTGAAATGTTAGTGAAACAGATTGTGCTACTAGGGCACATTGCTCTCATGCCATGCCCGCGGCTCATGAATCCCGCATTCAGTAAGCACATAGTTCTGTTTGCTGAATTTAAAATCCCGCTTTTCCAAATCTTCAAAAGGAATCACGCCCACTTTTACAATGTTTCTTATGCAGCTTTCTATTGCACATCGCACATTTCTCACCTGTGCATAGTTCTGTTTGATAGAAATACGTCCACATAGAAGTATTCTGTTTTGTTGGCGCGTATACGTAGTATACCGCCTTTGCAATCGTTTCGACCCCCTACTCGATATAATAACCGAGTCCCTTAGTTCCTCACCGGAAAGTGACTGGCGCAAACTTCTGAGGTTTTTTTGTTACCCTCATTACTTTTTTGTACTTGATAATCTCTTGCAATCACCCAACATGATGAAGCACAGCATTATTCTTAGGGGAAAAAAAAAATTCTCCAATTTGAGAGTTCTGATAAATAAATGTTCCTAGTTATCATTATTGTCCCTAGAGTGACTCTTGTTATTCTCATTTCAATAAGTTTGTTTCGCTAGTCATTAAAAAGGGGTTTTGACGTTCCAAGTCTATCTAAAAAAATAATAAAATTTGTTCAATCATAAATTTTCTACGCCAAATATTTTCAGAGATGTTGCACATTGAAAAACATGGCACTTGACATCATCCAAAGTCCTCAGCGGAAGTACATGCCAAGGTTTCTTCCATCTCAGTTTCATTAATTAATGATTTATAAATTCTTAGTGGTTGCTCGACGTAAAACTCGGATGAATCCTAGAGGGAGAAACAAGAATATACACTACAATAAGGGTACACACTTTTTACTGTTTCATCCAACTGAGGAAGGCTCAGTTTTCAGCCGTAAAGTTTTGGTAGAATTTACGTGAAAATTAACCTTGTTACTCGCCGTGTAATTTGTTTTATTATAGTATACACTATCGCGGTGGATGACATCATATGCTGCGTTTTTCGACGAGTGACATCTCCCTTAATATTAGAGAAGGTAACTTTGTTCCGACGGAATTTTTAATTCTTGCAAATCTGTTTTCTAGAACCATAAAAACTCGATTCTAGTTTGCGAGACTTGTGCAAGTGGCGCATATCTAGGGATACTACTTGAAATGCCCATCATTTGTTATGCTCACAGAGACAATTCATATTAATATAATTGTTGAGGGTTTCACTGTAATACTTATTTCTCGTGTATGTTATGTACTCCGCTGATTTCGGATGTAGCCATCTGGTACATCGAAGTGGTATCAGCATAAAGGGCAGGCTCAAGAATGTATACGTTGATTTTTCCTAAAATGATACAGGGTTATTCAAAAGTTACGCACCACTGGCCATAACTTTAGTTCTAATTATAATATCGATTTGCGGTTTGTGGCGTCCTTCCTCATATCGAGGGGGGAACTTTTTGAGGTACTTTTCAGTTCTTCACCCCCCCCCCAGGGGGAGGGGGGATGGGGGCAACTCAAAAATTTCAAATGGCAACCCCCATCATGTGATACATCGTTAGAAAGAGCATGAAAAAAGAAAATTTTTGGCGCGAACCGGAAGTCGATCTGACCCCCCTGTCAAAAGTTAGGGGGGTCCAAAGGTTATTTAGGGGGTCCGTACCTTAATTTATAGAGTAGCTTCGGCAGCTATTGGACATGCCGTTTCTCTTTTCAAAGAGTCCTCGAATACTCCAAGTCTGATACCGAAGTCTTCATATTGCCCCCGGGCCACGACAGCCCCCCCGTAGGGGGGGGATGGGCTAATTGGGGGATGGTAAGATCCGGAAAATGCGCCAGAAATGATGCCCCGGTTCTTACCAGCTCTGCAACGAAAAAAGAGGGGGGCAGCGGGGGTTTTATGGATGTTTCCGTCCTTAAAGTGGGCGGCAGTTCCTGTGTTGCAGTTCTCCAGGACTGAGCGCAACGTTTCAAGGGTTCTCGTCAAGTTCTACAGTGGTTTCGGGCATCATTTCTGGCGATTTTCCCGGTTTTTACCCGCTCCGCAACGAAAAATGAGGGGGGGGGCAGCGGGGGTGTTTTGGATGTTTCCGTACTTTAAGGGGGTGGCAGTCCTTGTATTTCAATGCTCCGACTGATCGCAACGTTTCAAGGGTCCTCCTCAAGTTGCACATTAGTTTCGGGCATTATTTGTAGTGAATTTACCGGTTTTTACCCGCGCTCTGCAACCAAAAATGAGGGGGGGCAGGGGGCTAAGAGTTTTGGAAACTCACTTTAAAGTCGCAGGCTACGTTTGCGTTAACATTGGCAAGAAGTTCCACTCGGATTTGATGCTAAGTTTGAAG